AAGCAACAAAGGGGCAAGTGTAGCAACGTTTGCGAGAACAGCGAAAAGTACCGGGTTCTTTATTAGAAGGAAGTACACCTTAACTAAGAAAGAGCGTAAATTACGGTCCCTTTTGAACGATAAAAGAGGGCGTTCTTTGAAAATGTTGGACGTGGTGGGATCAGAGTTGAGTAAATTGAAGTTACGATTAATGACAGGTTTGATAGAGTTGTTAATGGGATGGTAAGTGATAGTGAATGGAATGCGGTTAAGGTTAGAATTGCGTGATTTAGGGGTGAGAGCAGTGTTACAATCTATGGAAGAAGCTTTAAGCATAGCACGGTCGATGATGGTAACAGGGTAACCACGATTAAGAAAAAAGGAACGCATTTCTTGACATTTGTGAGAAAAATCAGTACTTGGCACTGCAGTGCAAATTAAAAATTTGTTGGTAAATATTTCATGTATATTATAAATAAGTAATCATATGGTTTCGCGGTCAATTTGGGATTAATTTTCACTCGGGTTATTTTYCAGAAGAGCTTCAATAGCACTCGCCCTACTCGGGCTCGTGCTATTTTGAAGCTATTTCAAAAGTCCACTCGCATAAATTAATTCCAACTTGCACTCGAAAGCAGATAAATACCTTTACAAACTCCAGGAAATTACTTTTCTTTCACTTATCGCTTAYTTCAAATAAAAAAAGCTACTTATCTTTTATACCATAACTCAATTTCCCACCATCGTAATGTAAGTTTGACGACTTCAAGAGCGTAAACGTCTTAGTTTTGGTGGATGAACAACCTGTGTCTAAAAGGGTTGATAAATTTGAGTAATTCACCTTTTCGGCGCGAGCTTGAATTGTGTTGCGGTCACCAAAAAGTTCGGACATCGTTCTCGGATTTCCATACAAATTCACTGACATTAAAAATTTAGGTAGATTTCTTTAGTTAGCTATCTTAACAGCAATAAGAAAAGCTTCAATCAAGCTATAAAAAGGATCGTATTCATAGAACTAACTAAACATTAACCAAGTAAATAGTTCATTTAAAGTCGGAATATTTGTACGGAAATTCGAGAACAATGTCCGAACTTTTTGGTGACCATCACACAACCTAAAACAATTYATACCCCGTGACAGCTAGCATCGAAAAGGTGAATTGTCGTAGACGAGGGGAATAACRAWAGTAAATAAAGATGGTCGGAATATAGTTATTTCAGAGGAACTTGATCTCCCTGTACTTACTTTGGTCGAAGGTGATCGATTTTAAGGGGTGGTCAAAGGGGAGAAGAAGTAATGTTAGCAAAGAGGTCGTTAGAGGTCGTCTTAGTGAGCTGAAAACAAATTCCTAAACTTTTATAATAACTATTCGGTTGCACATATCCTCAATAATTCATTTTTTCAGATTTTTTAAAGAAAAATATAATTCAGAGTTTAAAGTTACACGGCAGAATGCGGGGGGGGGGAGGGGGGGATCTGGAAAATCCGGCGAATACCGCGCACCCACGAAAAATTATCCGGGGTGTTGGCCGGGTGAAAACGTCTGCATTTCACTTTCTAAACTTCGACTATAGAATAAAACTTTCACTGCTGTCATATTTAGGGGGGTGTCAATGGGAGTACYCCCTTATCAGTTAACCACTAATTTTATGGCCGAATGTCAGTTAACTGTAAAATTTTTTACAGCGGTGGCCATAATATTAGCCAAAATAATGAAATGTCTGTTGACTGTTAATTACTAATTTTAGGTTATTCGTYAGTTAACTACTTGTTTGTGGACGATTCTCAGTTCACTATTAACCYTACTGACAACCTCCATCATCAGTCCGGCAATGTGCATTCTCTGTTTCAGGGGTATTTAATTGCAATTCGTCTGGGCTCTGGGCTATACAATTCTATCCGCTGCCTGCCTAAGCCTGTATGYGTGCCGTGGAGCCAAGGGGGAGAATCTCACATACACAGAGAAGAGTCTTATGTAAATTCAGTATTAAATCCATTCCTTTGATGATTTTTTTGTGCGGGTTATCAAGATCAATCAGTGTCTGTCCGTCCAAATGGGTTCCTAACCTCTCTGTCTGTCCGTCTATATGGGTGTCAAGCTCAGCGTATACTGCTCCTCGTCCATATCGGTGCCTAGATCTCCGTCGTTGTCTGCCAATCCRTCTGGCGTTGGATGTGTAGATCTGTCTGTCTATTTGCACATTCGTCTGTCTGTCCGTCCATATGGTATCCTAGATTGTCACTCACTCATTTACTACTAAGAAAACCGTAGGATTTGAGGGTTAGTAGATCAATAATAAAAACATTTTGCCGGACCGAGAGAGTGAGCGCCGTTAATCTGGAGCACGAGAGCCGGAAACAATTAATAGCTAAGAGAGCTCTTCTATACTTTTATATTAAATGTAGAAAAATAAAAGTAACTTCGAACAATACTAGCCCCACCCTCTTCGTTCTTCTATAAATCATTCTATTCTTTTTCATGCTATCTTGAACCTAACTTTAATTTGGTTCAGACTGATAATTCTACTTTATCTGAGCTTTGCAATTCATATCGATACCAATTAGACAATGGAGTCACTTCAGAAGAATGGGCTATATACGCGACCGGAAAGGTTTTGTGTATTTCATCATGGCTTCAGTTRAGGTCAAAAATACAAAGAAAATCAGAAAAATAAAATAAAAATGCCGAAGGCTGTTCACCTTAAAGTCTATTCATTAAAAGAGACCAGGCTATTGAGTTTTTAATATTAATGTGTTTTTTTTTTTTAATCAGAAGCTAATTATTTTAGGAGGGGTATACCTATCTAATACCAGTCATGGTCGCCATCTTTAGGATCGGGGCATGATAGATCACGTGATTTCCGAGTACCTCCTATCCGACTCTCAGCCATGTTTGTAAGTAATGTCAACATCACTCGTAGTTGAACAGTTCATTAGCAAAAGAAGCCCTGAAATTCTCCTTGGGAGCTCCTGATGTCTTTACTTCAGGACATTTGGCTGGTGGGAGAGTGATATTTTACGCTAGCGTGGTGCCTTTTTGCAGGAGTTGGCTGAGAAGTGCTGTGGCATTGGACAARCCAACATGGAACTCGAGAGAAAGAGGATGGAAACACTGGAGAAAAACGTTAGAAATCCAAGGAGTGCGCTCTACATTGACGGACTTTTGGTTAGTTTTAGGACTCGTTGGTTATGTGGCTTCATCACAGTACCTAGGAACTCAAAATTAACTTTGAATTATTGGTCTTTTAGGATGGAATTGAAGCGCTCGTCAACGATTGCAACTTCCCCCAGATACGACGCAACAAGAATGTAGAGAACTTTTTACAAAGATGTAAGCGCTGTCTCCTCGGTCGTTGTTTGTTTGTTATCTGTATTAATGGTACTTGCTAACACTGCTCTGATGGTGTTTTGTTGTATCTGTAGACGAAGGGCCGACTAAAACTATCCAAGATAACAGATTACGGTCCAGCGATTTCAATATTCTCAAAGTCATAGGCCGAGGAGCTTTTGGAGAAGTGCAACTGGTACGTTTGATAGCCGTTACATTTATTTGCTATCTGGCCTAAATCCTTTCTTTACTATTATTTACTTGTTATTTAAGGCTTAGACCTCTCGGTAACCCTCTAATTGAGGCGATATTTCTATACTTTGCTTTAATTTCCTTGTTCATAGTTTAGTTGTTGTGACTTTGAGACATGATAACGAAACGACACGACTATAATCATTACTGATACACGTATTTCAAGTTTTATTGCTTATCTATTCTTTATCCACTTTTGTTCTATGACATCCAATAACTATATATTTTCAATCTCATCAATCTAGGTACGCCTTAAACACTCTGACAAAGTCTACGCCATGAAACTTTTGAGCAAGTTCGAAATGGTAAGGACTTGGTTGAAGCCTTGTGTCACATCACCCAAACTCGCTAAAAAGCAAAGGTCACTCTAATCTATCCTGCAGTCATTACCAAATGAACGACAAATTCACAGCTTATAGACGTCCTTAGTGCTTGTTTATTTGAATTATGATTYCATATTTCCTCTTTAATTAGTTAAAAAAATCGTGTGTATCGTATCTCGGAGTTATTCTCAGGTCATGATAGCCAGATTTTTTTATCTCATATCTTTTAACTTGCTATTCAGAATCACTAGGTGTTCACATCAGGTATCTAAAACCCTTCAAAAGAAGATTCTTTTGTGTTTAAATTTCAATTATTTAGATCAAATGAATTGATAGTTTTGTTTTTCATCGGTTGCTATTTACTYCTTGGGAGCAATTTAGTACCTTTTTTTGTACTTTTTACTTTAGTCATACTTTTCAAAGAATATCGCATCTTTCCTACGAGTTTAATCACCATTGATAATCACGCTTTGTAGAACAGGTCAAAGACAACCAAAAATGCCCCATACCTATGARCATTCAATTCATTTGCTTCTCTAAGTGTCAATGTTCTTGATATTTTCAAGGTTTTAGAGATGTATACTTGTCTTGGCATGAAATATAACGAGCTTTTGAGATTCTATCTAAGAAGCTATCCATTCAATATGTCTAACATGTCTGTATGAAAAAGGACAAGTCTTTACTAAAAACAACATATATGACACTRCTGATCATGATCACTAGACAGCGTGATGTCTGGCATCTTCGACAAAACAAACTGATCATCTTTTAATGTCGAATGTCTTTAAATAACCTGTGCCACAAAGTTCCTACCCTGATGCTCCATTGATTATATAATACAATACAATAATCTTTATTTCACAAGGGCTTCTGAAGGAACTGTTTCATTTTGTTGTTTATTAATTGCCAATGCCTTCAGTTTTGGGATTTCCCTGTTTGAATAAATATCTGAAATACATATGTTCATGTATAGTGTCRGTGTAAAATTATCAATAAGTTTGTTATTAAATTTTGGTTTCTGTTGTTTTAATGGGATATTAATGTTAACAGTTATAGTTAGAAGTCTCTCAAGTGATAATAGTGTTTTACCATTACTTCCATTATAAAAAATAATGCTGCATTAAAAGGATTATGAATACCAGGTGTACAAGCTTGTATTGGCCTTTGCAAGACACCAGAAATCATCCAGACATGTTTACAAGAATTAACACGTTATGATATGTTCTTCTTTTAAGATTAAGAGATCTGATTCCGCTTTCTTTTGGGAAGAGCGAGAGATTATGGCGCATTCAAACAGTCCCTGGATTGTCAAGGTATTTATGATTTTACGTTTTGCCTTTATTATTTTACAACCACAATATCTGGACAAGGTAGTGAAACAATAACAGCCTGAAGAGATAAGGAAGGTCAATTCAAATAACTAACATATCAAACAAGTTATTACAAGAGCCAAGAAGATGTAAATCTTTATGTCCATTTATATATATGACTAAGCAATTTAGAACCACAAATTAGAACCACGACCTTGAGAGCTAGTTTACAATTTCAAACTGCTATTTCTCATCTCATTGTGTAATAGTTTAAGCAGTCAAAATCAAGTTGACTTATATTGAGACAGAAGCTACTTGGCTCACTTCCTAACAAAAATGTGATATGTTTTCAAGAATTCAACAGTTGCATGCATAAGAAGAGATAACTAGCTAAAAACTAGTGTAAAAATTAAAAATTAGTTGTATGCATAGAATATTTAATGTAGGTGTATGGTGTGTAAGTAAAAGTGGGTCAAATTTGAATCCAGCATTCATATCAATTTTTTTGCCCACTCTGATAAAAGATTAAGGATTATCCTTGAGGGGTTTGGSGAATTATCAGCACTAAGAATCTGTAAAGTAGGGTCTTCTACAGAATAGACTTCAGTTGAAACATAAGGGTGTWCTAGAATGTTTTTAACTATGAAACAAAAGCAAAATGTAAAAATGATAAATTTGCAATYGTGTTTGCATAACAACTATAATGTGGGAATTGAATTTGGGTTACCAGGTGATAATAAAGACATTAACCCTACCCCCTCAGGGGGCTTTTAATGGAGGGCAAGAGCTAAAGAGTTATATAGTTTTTAACCTCCTCTCTATTTGAAGTGAGGTTCTGGGAGGGATCCTTGAGAATTCCTCCCCCCCCCCCCCCCCACCCATGTTGTGTACATGATTGCTCCATTGTATATAAAGCCAAAGTTACATGAATGGGAATGCATCAAAACAAGAGTTAGCATGCATATGTACTCATCTCATAGTAGAAGCACAGGTGTCACAGTGAGCTCACCTCTAATCAATGTAACTAGGATCAGTTCCCCAACTCAGTGTTTTATACTGTCTAGTAGAATTGYTTGCCAATTCTCTCCTGTGTTTCCAGAGCTTTTCTCCAGCTAGGCCTTTCTTAATTCCAATTGCATGAAGAACCCTTGAAATACCACTGCTAATTCCTATTTGATGAATCTTGATCCACTGAAGAACATATTTATTTAGTGTGTATTTTGATTCATAGCTCCATTATGCCTTCCAAGATGAAAAATACTTATACATGGTTATGGACTACATGGCAGGTATGTATCTATTAGGTTAACCTGTGGCCTGATGCTAGTGTTGTTYGGTCCAAATCATATTGGATCACATAGGCCGATCTTTGTTTACGTTTTTTCCTCATTAGCATTAAAGAAATTTCAAGCTACTAGCAAACCAACTCCAGAAATCGAAAGAGAATGTCTTATTTAGTAACTACTGAAAATTTGAGAGTAATATGTTCAGTATTTTGGGAGTAAAATTTTTTTGAAAACGGTATGATTTACAAAGAAATGTATGGTCGTGTGGCCCAAGACTTGCCACACAACCATACATTTCTTTGTAATTTATAGTGTTTTCGAAAAAAAAAAGTTAATGCTAATGAGGAAAAAACGTAAACAAAGATCGGCCTATACATCAAGAGTCATTTATATTGCTCTCACAATGTCTAGTATGTGTTTGCCTTGAGGGAYAATGAAGCAGTTAATTCCACCTCTGGTATGTGAGTGCATGTATATTYGTTGATACTCATTTTAAGATTATTTCATTTTAGGTGGCGATCTTGTTAACCTGATGAGTAACTATGAAATCCCTGAAAAGTGGGCAAAGTTCTACTGTGCAGAAGTTGTGTTGGCTCTTGATGCCATTCATTCCATGGGATTTATTCACAGGTATTTCTGGGGTATTGTACAATATATTGGGTTGATTCCAGTTAGAAAAAAAAGACCTCATTTATATTATTAATGTATTTTCMCAAGTGCTACCATCCAGAAAGAAAACAATAGTCAAGAAAATGATGTGATTTGAAATGGGAAAATATTAGCCCTCATAATAAAGAGGTATATTAGACCTCATTTCCGCATGTGCTACTTCAATGTAATTAAGTTAAATAGCCAATAAAWTGGCTGTTGAATTTTAGCTACAGTTCTGGTTCGGTTGTACRAAGGGTGGATAGCCCTATCCGATGGATAAATCCTYCTCCAGTGGATAAGTCGGTGATGTTATCCAATACATTTATMCACTGGATAAGATATTCACAACTGGATTTAAGACTGGGTAGCGCTATTCACCTTTGTACTGCAACCAGGCCCTGAATTTTTATCTGAGTGTTAAAAGAATCTGACTCTTTATTTGAATTTTTTTCATTTATCAGAGATGTCAAACCAGATAACATGTTACTTGACCAGGAAGGGCACTTGAAATTAGCTGACTTTGGAACTTGTATGCGAATGGAWAAGGTATGCTCTTAATAAAGTCTAAGGAATCTATAAAGATTGTAAATAGCATGTAGAAACCATATCGAATTGGTTTTCAATATGGTAGCATTTGATAACCAATGGTATGTATGTGGTTTAGGATGGCATGGTAAGATCTGATACAGCTGTTGGTACTCCAGATTACATATCACCTGAGGTAAGTATGTTGTTATTTGTATTAGTAGTAGCCTACAGTTGAATCGTTTTATAGCCATGACTTTTCATGGCCATTCAAAATTGGTTATAACTGCTATATACTGCAGTAGATTTCTCATTTTTTTGTACAGGTAAAATTGGAAAACTTTTAAATTGTCCTTTTACAATTAATGTCAAAAAAAAAAAAGAAATTCTGGCTGGACTTAAAACCTAGAAATTTAAACCTCAGACAAAGGGAAGACAATATTGTTAGCTTATTTCATTAGTAGGAAATATTTCCTATAATACATATATTGTCAGTGTTGTTAGAGCTCAACTAAATTCATAGTCTTACTCTGCACTGAATTTGTACAGGTATTGAAATCCCAGGGAGGTGAAGGACACTATGGAAGAGAGTGTGACTGGTGGAGTGTTGGTGTCTTTTTGTATGAAATGCTTGTTGGTAAGTACATGTGTTAGTAACTTATTCTTTCGTTTTAATGCCATTTTCATAGACATGCAAACTTGTTAGAAATTTGGTTTTTCACTGCCGTCAATCAAATTTAATCAGYCAGTACCTTTCATATTTTTGACTGGCGGCAGTGAAAAACCAAATTTCAGCATGCTGCTCATAGCTACCAAGTTTGCATGTTTATAGAAATGGCAGTAATAATAATATTATGGCTTTCATTTTCAAGTTTTTGTTCTGAAAATTGTTGAGATTGATCCAGACTTTAGTTCCTTGTTGGCTCCCTTCCACAAGGATTAGTAACTCTTGAATGCTGTCATAATATTTAAATAAGCTGATCTCCTTATGTAGGCTGTGTAATCATTGAGTGTACAAATCTGTGGTATAGTCACAAAATTAAGGACAAAATTAATACATGCATTTACATGTACATAGGATTTATTAAGAAGTACAGTGTTTACAAAATTAAGRACAAAATTAATACATGCATTTACAGCTATACATGTACATAGATTTTATTATGAAGTATTTACATATGTACAATACTATCAAATACAGGAAGATAAAAACAAAAATCCCTGGTTTCAGTTTCCAATTTCTCACTACAGTGTAAATTGACTTTCCATACTTGTAATGTTCAGAAGAGAATTTTTGTATATTAAATACAAATTTCTTTTTCATTTTAGGTGATACGCCATTTTATGCAGATTCCCTGGTTGGAACATATGGTAAGGATTTTGCCATAAAAACTATCTATTTTTCTTTTGTTACAGAATGTTTAAAGCAAAATTTGTTGACATTAGGGGAAGGGTAGGGGTGTGTGTGTGTGGAGGGGAGGGGGGGGGGGTTTCCAGGAAATGGGAAGTTCTAAAGTGGAGATATTTTAGTTCTTCTTTCACCTAACTTAGTTTTTTTTATTCAAATTGTTATTTTTATTTATTTAAAAATAATAATATTGTATTGATTTTGTCATAACATAACTCCAAGAGTAAACTGCTCATTGAGGGTGTATATTCTACTAAATATAAGTTAAACTAGCTATCAAATCAAATTAAAGTGTCTCAAAACTCAATGATTCTCACATTTCAGGAAAAATTATGGATCACAAGAATTCACTACAGTTTCCTGAAGATATTGAAATGTCAGCCCAGGCCAAGAGTCTCATCAAGGCATTCCTTACAGACAGGTATCTATAGATTCTTTGCACTATCACRAGTGGTGGGCATGACAGGAGGCACAACAATAGAGTCTTTTYCACCTRGGAARACTGAAGAATTCTTGTGTAACACATATCAGACCAGATTCAATAGATCCTGCCTCCTGTCATGGYTGCCATCATGTGATGGTGTGGTGCGATGGTGCAAAGCCTCTTTATATATAGGTGGTTTGCACTCCTACACAGTGGCATGAATGTAAAAAGATATTGCTGAATCATTAACTGAAGTGACAAAAGAAACCAATGCAGCATTTACATTTGAGATGGGGAAAGGGCCATCAAAAATGCAGCAAAAAAGTAGGGGTTGTCATTTCCACTGAGAGAGACTGACAGAACAATAGGAAGGTCACATATTTGATCAAGGGTTGTCAACTCCTTTTGTACAATCAGCCAGTGGATGTATATCCAGTCCTTTTCCATTTATCTCATTAACAAATATTTTTGTTCAGTCCAGCAAGCATGGCAGTAAGCAGACTGAAGAATTATGATTATAGAATCTTTGACTCCCATGACATAATTAATGATGTTTTCCCCCCCTCTTTTTTCAGGGCACAGAGGCTTGGTATGACTGGTATACATGAAATTAAAGCCCATAAATTCTTTAACAATAATGACTGGGAGTGGGACTCCATAAGAGAAGGTAGGTTGGTGCTTCAAACAAAATGGTTGATACTATTGGTTATCATATCATTAGAGTATAAAGTATACRATAATGTGTTAGCCATCATGCGTGAAAACTGTAAAGTCTGTGCAAAGTGTGTCTGAATCCAGCACTTAAAACCATAAACTACCAAGATTAATAATGGCTTATCTGTTTTTGCATTCATTAGCTATCCCTCCTGTTGTCCCTGAACTTAGAGGTGATGACGATACTTCAAATTTTGATGACATCCCWGATCCAGATGCAGGAGAAGAGTTTTTTCCTGTCCCTAAGGTTTGTAGCTTGATTATATCTATCAAGTAAATTGATACAAGCTGGCAGATCCAGGAAGTTTTGAAAGGGGGTTACAATTGCATTTACTAGAYAAAAGAAAATCAAATTTATTTCAATGAAATGACAATTGAAATTTAAYAAATAGACATCAGTTTTTYATGTGTCTGTCCTCTCATTGACAATACATTTCACCATCACATTGTCAAAGTAGTATGCAGATCCACTYGGCATTAATAAGAAGACAGACACATAAAAAACTTATGTCTATTTGTTTTTTACAATAACAAAAACGATAAAAACTTCTCATTTTTAGTGACCAATGGAAAGAGCGCACGCTCGTTGATGTTAGCTTTATCTGTCTGTCCTCTTTTTGATGATAAAAAATGACCAATCAGCGCACTAAAAATTTGTTAAAAAGTTATTGTAAAGCTTTTGTTTTACCTTTGAACCTTTAATCATTCATGAAAAATTACTTCAAGTCAAACTAAATTCTAGGACAAAACATTTAATTAATCCTCAGGTATGAAAGGGGGGTTTGGACCTCCAGACTTCTCCCCCACCCCCCATCTGTAGATCTGCCACGTATATACTGACACTGCTATGATAATTTGTGAGGAGATTGGCTATTCCTTGGCATTAGATTTATTGTAGTCAGGTTTGAGARATGAACAGTTATCTCATGTAGTAGTGTGAGGTTAGGAGTGATCGTGTCATTAGAATAAGAAAAGAGAGTAAATTGTTAAGGCAAGTCAAACTCATCAGTTCCTAATTAAGATTTTTTTTATTCTGTACCATTTGGGTCAGGTTGGTTCAGTTTATAGCTGCTTTTTTTTCTTTCTTGCTTGCTTGGTTCTACTATYGTCTTTCTTACAAACATTTTTCAAATGTAAATTTTAAAGTACTCCATGTTATGCATGYGACTTAACAGGGAGGAAGTTGGCTATGTCAATAATAATTATTAAGGAGGAAAGAGTTTTTGTAGGGAAATGGGGGGGGGGGGGCAGTTTGGAGTAGTGGTTCAGTCAAGAAGTGAAAAGGGATGGTCGTTATTGAAAAAGGAAAAATTGGGTCAAGTTAGAAAAAGAGGAGTGGTTTGCAAAGATTAAGAGAGGAGTAGTTAAAGGATGAGGATCTGAGATGTTTGGATTATCTCAAGGTACTGGGAAGAATTTGTGATCAGTTTTACCGCATGTAACAATTCTTGCTTTGTTATATTGGAAAGCAATGTTTGTACTKACTATTATTAACTGTTTTGCTTTTAACAGGCTTTTGCTGGAAACCATTTACCATTTATTGGATTCACCTATTCTAAAGAAAAAAGGTAAATTTTTTTGGTACATTTCTTACATTTTTAGCTCTCTCTCAAGGCTTTGATTGGTTCAAACGACATCCTAAATTTGCTGATGTGACTATTCGTCTGTCCATCCGTCCGTCCATCTGTTCTTTCGTTCATTTGTTCATTCATTTATAGACTTTGTTACATGGGTAGGGAAACCCCACAGAGCAAAACCTTTACTATGGGGACCCAGTGAAATGTGCCTTGCTGTTTTACAGTCAAAAATATGAAATCTACTYCATTTTGTGCCCCACACCATTTTTGAGCCTGAGAAATTTGTTGTGATCTAACTTGGGTCCAAACCCTACCCTTAATAAAATATGTGATATCTTAGAACTAAAAGTGTGCAACTTAAATAGTACTAAATAGTGCTAAATTATATGCTTATTTTATTGATGTTTGATTAGTGCTAAATAGTGCAAAAAAATTGCACACTTTTAGTGTTTGTACTTTAACATTCTTCTTTTTATTCATTTTAAGATGGGCAACCAGGTCAGACATGCCCAGTGATGTCTTGGTAAGTGGGGTGCGTATATATATTTTACCTTCTCTTTTAACTAACACTTAATGGATTCTCTTGATATTCAGACTGAAAGTACAGAACAGTACACCTTCTTTTTAGTGAAACCCCTTAATCTTGGGGGACTTTCGGCATGTACATTTTCTCAATACAAAAAGAAAGAAGATTTTGAATTCTCGATTTTCTACTTGGAAGTACTCTCACTTGAAAAACTACTCCAAGATCCATCAGTGTACTGCATGTGTTCTACAAATGATGCAGGTTTTTAGATCAGTGAGAGAGAGTTGAATCAAATTGACTTTATCATGGATTCACCTGAACACAATAAACACAGTCATGTAATAAATCCACAGCTCTTGCTATGCTTTTTGTGTTAGTGACACTCATTTATTGGCACAGATCAAGTCTTAAGATATAACTGTACCAGTATGTAATGCAATCAATTGTCATGCATGTTTTGCCTTAATTTGTTGCCATATTAATAATCACTATAGTATCCATATTTTCGTACAACTATCCTACAATGTAACTGCTTGCTGTTCAAAGATATGGCTCAAAATAGACCTTATTTGTGGTGTGACAATGTTTTCCCAATTCAGCGTGACAAACCTGAGGATTCATTTTCTTTTGCTTTTATTCTTTAAAAAATTCATGAGTATCCCAAAGGATATGAAAAAAATAACTGTTATCCTGACGAGTTCAAAACAATAGCTGTTCATTTCCCTAGAGGTTTGTCRCATTCAATTGGGAAAACATTGCCACACCATGAATATGGTCGTTGCTAACTTAAGCATGCAGTATACATAMGTGTATCCAGATTGACACTGATACCACCTTCAGCAGCATCATGGCAAAAACAGTTATTGAATTCTGTAAAAAAAATCAAGCTTTCTAGTTCTTCTCTTATTTWTTTTTTATTGGTTTCTCCAGGATGGTAGTAACTTTGTAAATAAAACTTCTAATGAAACGGTTAGTACTGCATGTTTGTACTATATCCATCAGTGTAGGTTTCCTTGCAATTATTGATGCTCRACAGCTGATTAAATCATGGGGGTAAATTTCAACAGACTCAGAGAAGGGGTGCCTGTGAAATGCCAATCACCCTTCATGAATCAATTTTACTTTCATTGGCCATAAAAAAGAATTCTATCATAAATTGCATAAAAATTAATCTGACTTTCCGAACTCATAAAGGTAAAACACCTTTGATTATATCCTTTTAAGAAAGGGTGCTATATAAATCAGAAATCATTATCATTATCTCATTTTACTTGAATTTATGGCTTAAATTATTATTTTTAGATTGAATTGGTAAACCAAAAAAATGYCAAGCTGGAAAAAGAACTTAACAATGCTATGCAAGAGAAAGCAGAAATAGAGCTTAACTTCAGGTATTATCATTGTAAAGCATCTTTTTTTTCAACAATGCTTCTGCATGGTGACAGCTGTCAACGAACTTTATACAGTAAGGTGTTGGTAAGTAGTTTGCTGACCAATTATTACTGACRCTTTACCATACTTGCAGGGCGGTAGCAACTATGAGGTAAGCAAGGCAGTTGCCTTGATAAAATTTTGCAAATGTACCTCGCAATGCTGAAAATCATTTCCAAGGGTCTGAATTCAAAATTTTGGACCCCTCTAGTTGCTTGATTGCCTTGGTAAACRTTTCAGTCTGGATATGGCCCTGACATGTATGTTACCAAACACTCAGCCAATGCATGGCCAATACACAGCCAAACATCTGGTGATTGTTGACTGACACCTGTTTGCTGTTTAATAAAATACACAATTACCAGTGACCACTTAAACCAAAACCTTACCAACCACTTACTGACATCTTACTGTATGGTGTGGGTTGATCACAATAGCGCACTGTCACCATTATTTTTTGTCATAGTTGTTACAATTTWAGTTTTTTCAAATTGCTGCTCAGTTTTATATTATACTTGCTGAGCATATTAGTACTCCATGTTTGGCACTAACACAATCTTAAGTAATTTTTAACATTATTACAATARCTATTATCTGATTGTTGAATTTGCTTGTCTTTCTAGAAATGCTAGTTCAAAGCTTGAAAAAGTTTTAAGAGAATTCGAAAAAGAGGTAAGTGGGGATTTTTTTTCTTTAGGTGTTTCAACAATTAGTGATTTATGGCTAGTATACATTAAGCTCAGAAATTATAGTTGACACTGATTAATAAGAATTATTATTGATTATATTACTTTATTATTGATAATTATCATTAATCAGTATCAACTATAATTTTCTGATTTGATATACTATGCCTTATGTTACAAAAACTTCAATTTAACAGATCAAAAACAGTTTTCCGTGTTTGATACTCTGATCAAAACACACGGGATGTTGGGAGAACATGAGAGGAGCGTAGGAAACCACGACGCGTAGCTCCTTATGTGCCGTCTTATTCAAACTGACCAATGAGCGTGCGCGATAGATTAAAAATGACGATAGCGTGTTTTGATACTCTCATCAAACATGGTTTTCGACCAATCATAGCGCGCGTAGTATCCCAATTATTTTATAAAATATATTAAGCTCCTTCCAGGGTTAGTGCTACTCCTTGAAATCCTTGAAGAGTCCTTTAATTGAAAACACGTTTTCAAGGGCACTTGAAAAGCCCTTGAAAATAGGGGAAAACGCCAAAACTCCCGGAATATTCCTTGAATTTAGTACAAACTTAATGTTATTTCTAACTTTCCTTTTAAAATAAATAATGATTAAAACTGATAGAAGAGTTTCTGGTTGCTTGTTTAGTGGTTGGTTGCGTGTCATGCTTGCTTTTTATCTAAGCTTGTGGCCCCGGCTGAATTAGCTGCACTTTAACAATGAAACAATGTTTAAAACCACATTCTAATACAAAAAACTTTGTCCTTTGAAAATYGAATTTTTGTGCTTGAACAGTGCTTAAAAAGTCCTTGAATTTYGTAATGAGAAAGTAGCACGAACCCTGTCCTTCACCAAGATGGTTGTCGCTCTGTGCTCCAACCTGCTGTAATTTTTGTGCACCTTCCTTATGGTTGTAAATAAGAGCTTACTAGTGTTTTATTTCAATTATATCAGGCTGAGGCCAGAAGAATTACAGAGGCAAAGAACAGAGACATGGAAAGAGATGCGGCACAGTTTAAATATGATTTAAGAGAGGTTAGTATCATTAGTCTTATGCTTATTCTTATTGCTTACYCTCTGATAGTTATACATTATTCCCCCAGAAAAATTATCAACACAACAAACATTAATGATACCTGGAATAACTGTTTTCTATTTGAATAGGCTCAGCGTAAAGTTGAATATGAAACAGACAATAAAAGAAAAGTAAGTCAATGTTGTCAAATCATAAACATATTTAAATTATATAATATTGGACCTTTGAGGACTGTTAAATTATGTATATTAGACCTTTGATGGCTGATGAATGCTGTARGATGGGTAAATGAAGCATGATTCCCAGTTTAGCCAAAGATTGCAAAAGATTGCTATGAGTGACAAATATTGCTTCCGAAACGCAAAAGATGTTTTTGCAGCATTGGCAGGGATTTCTTTTTTTATTGCACAATTGCAACTGCATGAATCTACATTGTCATATTAAATGGCTTCTAAACAACTAAAGTAATATACAATTTATAATGGTTATCTCGTGGACTTGCAGTTGGAAAATAAAGTGCAAGAGTTGCAAAGTCGCCTGGATGCAGAATTATCACAGAGGGATAAGATATCTCAATCATCACAAAATGTCCAGTCAAGAATTACATTCCTAGAGAAACAGTTAGCAGAACACCAAGCTCAGATGAAGACTGAGGCTGAGGCATACGCTAAGACTAAGAAATTACATGGAGATCTGCAAAAGGTAAGCGTTAGTCTTGCACTGGTTATTAGTGGCCAACAACGAGTGTGAGAACAGTACGAGAACAGTACAAAGACAAGTTTTAAAATTGGTCCTGTTTATGTGGTTAACAATGAATCAATTTCCGATKTTTTCAATCTAAAGTTTCGATCTACGTACACAACCAAGACTATGAAATGATAGTGRCAAAGACTTTAAATAAAAGTTCAAAACTTGTACTCGTTGTCGGATCTAAGAGTCCYTGTTTTTTCACAGCCCAGGTAACATTCAACGATTTTGCACTGCTGCTATTGTTACTACAACTAAGGACATTGGAATATGTGAAAGACTAATATGCAAAAGTCTAAAAGTTGGGTGAGAGCGGGGRGCCTTAGTTTGGAAAATTTAGTGGGATTTACAGGAAGAGGTTGAGTTCTATAGCCCTCCAGCTCCTCCTGTTCTACAGTCTCTGACAAGTTTTCACCRTTTGTTGGCTATGGCCACCCATTGTTCTATAGCTCAAAAATAGTCAGACACAGCAATTTYCATATACTGCAGTAAAAAGTGTCTTGCATTCAGGAGTTTTTTCATTTTCCTCGAGTTGTAAAAGAACCTGCAGGTTATGTAATCTTCCCTGGTTTTGGCCCGTATCCTTCACCCCTTAGAGGTTTCTTTCAATGTTTTTGCAAAAGTGGATAAAACATTGCTATCTTTTTTTACCTTGTAGTCATATGCAGTTCTGGAGAGGTCTTATGGTGATCTACAGGAAAAGAACAGAGTTATYAGTGATCAGAAGGTGGGTGACCTACATAATATTTCCTGTGAACTGTTATGTGTGACTCCATTTGTCTTACTGATTTTACTATGATTTTCCTGACAGCTTTCACTGGAACGAGAGCTGATCAAGGTCCAAGCAAGTCTAGAAGCAGAAGTTAACATGAGGGTGCAAGCAAATAGTGCTAAAGCAGCAATAGAGTGTAAGTTTGCAATAGACCAATGTTTGTCCGGACATCAAATACAGGTTTTCTGCCGGACTCTCTACCACCACCACCACCAACACCACCAACACCAATACCAACATCATCACCATCCTTGTCATCATCCTCATCCATCATATTCAACCACAACTACATCATCATTGTTGTTGACATCATCCTTGTTATCCATAATCTTGAACTATAGCATCACCATCATCATAACCATAAAATATGACAACATGTATTATCACATCATTGACATCATCCTCGATCTACAACTACAACATCAGCAGCATCGTAAATGCATTTAATTTACAGCATCATAGGAGCATCTTCACACTTGGTTCTTGAGGGTACAATTTTTGCAGGATACTAATTGTGAAATACCCACACCAAAATCCATGGATGGGTATAAARTATTCGAGTGCTATAGGTTGGAACGGCATGCTCTAATACTTTTATGATTCACATTTTTAGCCCARTTTCAATCATTACGAGATGAACATGATCAGCTTAAATCAAGAACTTCCTCTGATGCACGGGTACAGCAGAAACTGCAGCAAGACTTGATAAACCTTGAAAAAGTAGGTTCCCTTTAAATATGTAGTCTTATAAATTACACTCAACAAAATTACTTGGTTCTGATTGCACAATAGGAGTAAAATACAATTAAATCCCAAATTGTACTCTGTACTCTGAGTCTCAATTAAGTTGCTCAATTTTGTTGAGTGTGTCATACACAAATCTTCACACAATCTTCTCAAAGGCTTGTCCAATTTTCGATAACTTTCAAAACATCACTCATACCTATAAATTCCATATAGTATTCGAGGTCGTGCGAGTTCCCATGGAGCTGTTAAGTGTGACCTAATTCGACCRAAAAATGACTTCAAGGTCCAAATTAATAATTACTTCTACAGACATTTTTCTGTGTTTTTTCTTCATAGCAGGATTTTCTGTTCATGTATCTAATTATTGTTGAAGATARAGAATAAATCCTGGGAATAAGTTGTGGCAAGATTTTAGCAATTTTTTTGTGTGATTGGGCCCGGAAATACATCACAACTTAAGAGACCTATACAAATACAAATCACACCACAACAATTTTTCTCATCATTTTTTTCCTTGTTTCCCACAGGAGAAAGCCAACACAGAATATGTTCTAAAATCTTTACAACAAAAGTTTGAACAAGCAACATTAGATTACAAGGTACAATTAGAGAATTCTTATGTCTCATTTCGGTGTTTTATTATTTATTGTTTGAGAACTTTAAATTATTAAGTGTGAATATTGACTTGCGTTCTCTCGTCTTTAGACTCAGATATCATCATTTATGACAGAGAAGAAACGTCTGTCGCTTACTTTGGAAGAGCAACATGTCCAGGAAAGGGTTGAACAAACGAAAACAAGTATGTGAAATATCATGATATGTACTTAAACCCCTTAAAGATTGGCATTTAATGAGGCTATAAGCACAAGACCTGGGTATRCTTGTAATTATCCACTGTGATATGTATTTATTTTTACTTGTTTCAGTGGAAAGGCTCAAGCTYGAACAAGAAGCAAGAGCCAAAGCTGAGGCTGCTGCTGCTGAAGCTGAGAGAGCAAGGACTGTTATGGCTGCTGACTACAAGGATGTTTCTCAGAAACTACAGAGAGTCACTGAAGAGCTGAATGCTTTACAGGAAAAGGTAGGATAGGATGGGCTCATGGGAGGATCTAGGATTATGAGAGGGGGGGAGGGGGTCACAAAATTAGGAACATACACATTTTTAGCAATATTGCATTTTACAGTTCTGATCACCAATCATGAATAATAGTTCCAAGCCAAGGTTGGAGTTTCCATGHATAGCAAAACTATAGCTTATGTTGCACAGTAACTTCAACCTCAACTTGGAACTATTATTCATGGTCACTGAAAGGAACTATAAAAGGGAGTATTAACAATATTTGATGTTTATAATAACCAAGTAATATGGGCACCCGCTGAACATGCCACTGGGGCCAATGGCATTTTCAATGATGATGACAATGCAGATACATGACTAGATTTCTTTTAACCTAAATAACGGTGAACTTGCTTTTTATGTTTAATTTATTTCAATAGAATAAGAATGTTCTTAAGATTGACATGAATCATAAATCCTGATTTCTTTTCGTTCTGGCCTGTGAAGAAGTTTGTGATGTGGTATTTTGTGTTTTTGTGTCCAATAATTACAGAAAGGAAACGACAATGCTAAACTGAATGCAGAATCCCAGAAGAGAGCACAACTGGAGGGGGAGCTAGAATCCAAGACCAAGGAACTAGCTGCCATAAAAAGTACAGAGAAACAACTGCAAAAGGTAATTACAAGGTCTTTTTAAGAATTTATTGTACAAAAACGTGTACGAAAACGTACAAAAAGATACCTGACATATTCAAACACACCAAAGCAGGTGTCGTTGGATAGAGAAATTGTCCGCCCAATTGTTKTAATTTTTTTACCTTGTAATTAATGATAGCGAATGGATGACATTCTGGAAGAGAAGCATCAACTCGAAGAAGGATACTCCAAACTAAAAAGGTATTGAGATCATTTATTATGCCACCTTCATGCATGCATCCTTCCGTCTCTTCCCATTCATCCATGCTTCCCATTCGTCCATGCTTCCCATTCGTCCATGCTTCCCATTCGTCCATGCTTCCCATTCGTCCATGCTCCCCATTCGTCCATGCTTCCCATTCCAATTTCGTTCTTCTCGTCCTTTCTCTTTCCTTGTTATTTTACTTCACCCTTCCTATTTTATTTCCTATTCCATTCTTCCTTATGCATTTCCTGGTTGAACCTTTGAAAAACGGAAAAATTCGCTTTAGATGTGTGCTAAGGTCATAGCGCACAAATTTTGTGCTCGAGATGTTCCGAACAATTATTGACACAGTCTGACAGCCTAAACAATACGATTGTGAGCAGCTGTTTTAAAAAAATTGTTCATTATTGATAGCTTCTCTAGCTTTCGATTTGATTTAATTTGCATTTGCTACGCACTGATTTAATACCAGGATGAAAATTCTACCGTATAACACGGTAAAAAAATATATTTAAAAGTAGGACTTTCATGATGACGCTAGGATCACGTTTATTTCTTTATTTCTTTCTTTTATTCCAGTGCAAGCGCCATGGATGATTTACAGATGAAAGAACTACAAGACCAGTTAGAAGCAGAGCAGTACTTCTCGGTAAGATGTCCGGTCCAGATGGTTTGACTTTACTTTACCTGTTTCTTTAACCATAGTTAATAGCTCCTCCT